TTGACCAGCAGTGTCTTTTGAACATTTTCTGCAAAATACATTTTTAGAGATTAAAAAACAAAGTATAAAAATATTGACTACCAAAGAGGAACTGCAATATTTACAAGTCAACATCATAGGTCAAATAAACCAAAAGAATCATATCTATTTTTTAAATGTGTAACAAAGTGCATCAATTCTTTACTAAGACCTTAAAAAACACTGTAATTATTGATAAAATATTTTGCCAAAATTATAAACAGTCAATCAAAGACTAGTCCAATTTCACACTCCCTAAAAACCCATAAGCCAGAAAAGAGTATGTGTTTTGTGTATTGTGTTTAAAAAAAATAATGTCAGATTTTAGAGGAAATTTTTTTGCAATTGTGAAATGAGAATGACATAAGAATGATTTTAAAATTTTTGCACTTACTTGTTTCTTCATAAATATCAATTTCAGTTATACATTGACTGCCCAAAGATTCAATACTTATAGATTTAATGTTATCTTGCTGTATTTCTTTACAGATTGTTTGTTCAAAGAGAAAATTTCCATGAATTTGAACAGATTTTATAGTATCATGCACATCTTTAAGGTTTAGAATATAACCTCCAGTTTGTTGAGAAAGGTGAAGAGCTTTTTAAAATGGAAATATTTCAATTTTTTCTTAATTCAAAAAAAGAAAAAAAACTTTACATGTTAAACAAAAAGTATGCAAATTAATTTGACTTTCAAATATTATTTCACAAAAATCATTAGATCCTTGAACTATTTTTTGATTTGAATCTTCTGTATAGTAGACGCTATCAGTTAAAAAATTTTTCATATCTATCCCATTATGTATTATTGATGATATATCATTTAATTTAATTCTACCAGTTTTCCCCATAGTTGGAATCTTTGTACCATAAATAAACAATTCAGATATTTCAAAGTAGTACATAGCCCTATTGTTACTTTCATCAATAATGTTTATTAATAAATACTGTCCAGTTAAGTTAGGTGGACATTTGAATATATGAGCTTTTCCAGTATGGAATGTAGATTGCAGTTTGTTATAGTCAGTAACACAATATTTATTTAAACTTGAATTTATTGTTTGGGGAAAGTCATTGACTGATATAAATATATTCGCAAATTGAGATGAATAATCTGTTTATAAGAGAAAATAGTTTTTTATATATATATATAAATTGACCTTGACCTTTAATAACCTGTTTTTGTTCCAACAACAATTAGAAAATTAATTGAGTAGGTATCTTTTAAATCTAAACGCAAAAATGGATTCTTGATTAAATCCTCTTTGGATCTTGATTGAAAATTTGTATAAAAAGCATTGTCTATTAAATGAGAAATGAGAAAATTAGTTTGCCTTGGTTTCCCACCAAAATATTCAAAATTGGTAAAATTAATAAGCTGGTAATCTGTATGAAATATTAAAATATTTAATAATTTCTAAATTGATTAATTGATTTTTAACATTTTGTCAGAAATATTAATCAAATAATTTAAATCTTTAGGATAAAGAAAAAATTCAATGCTTAGATTTGAAATATATATTTCTAACAATTTGTCAAAAAATCTTTAATTTTTTTTTTTTTTTACTTCTCTCTCTAATAAAATCTCCATAGATTAAAATATGACAAATTTGTAAATACTTTTTATTTATTAGTCTTCTTATTGTAACAAATGATCCAATAGAATTAGGATTACAAGGAAATTCATCGTAACTCGACAAATTTGTCGATGTAGCAAGTTTTACTATACCACTTACAAAATAGCACAATGTACTATTTATGCTATTTGGCATATCGCCAACAAATATATCCAACTTTTTTTGCATATTGCCTAAAATAATTTATAAATATGCAAATGAAGCAAGATTTTAAAAAAAACCTAAAAATACCATAAGAATCTCCTCTATTTAGAATCGATACCGTCGTTACTAGATAAATTTTTTCAATATCAATAGAAATCCATGGTTCAACTTCGTATGCCGCATTCGATGAACATTGAAAAGGAGTTGATAGGTGAAGGAACTCAATTATATCATCAATTGCTTTACTTGCATATAAATTAGTATCAACACCATTATTCAAGTTATAAATATGCAAAGAACTCTGATAAGCATGTTTATTTCTTGCTAAATTGAAATTTGATTCCGACTCTGATAGTTTTCCATTTAGAAAAACTTAAAATAAGGGGAGAAAATGATACTTTTGATAGAAAATGAGATTATCTTACCTAGAAGAGTTATAAATGTTAATGTCTTCATTACAATTTCAAATCTGTCTAGTAAATGCTTCACTCCTCACCAATTATAAATATTTTCCTAAGTCAATAGGTATTTATTGACTCTATTGATAGAGAAAAATAATATTTTTTAACAAATTTGTAATCACGTGATTGAAAACAAATACTTGGATTTTTATTGCCCAAAAATTGTATTAAAAAAAAAACAACAAAGTTTGGGCTTAGAATAAAAACTTTCCACTCTTTTTTGAAAGTTTAAAACATCAATTAACAAATAATTTATGATCAGACAAAGCAATTCAACATAAAAATATTTCTATATTAATGATTACAAGTATAGAGCAATTGTTTACAATCTTTTTAAGCACTTGATTGTAAATCTTAAGATTATTGAAAAACTATAATATTGATTTCTCTCTCTTTCTCACTCATGCCCTCTTTCTAGGAAAGTAAATTTCCTTTAAAATCACATAAATTTCATTGTCTGCATATATTAAGCCAGAGAATTTCCAGGAAATATTTACATGTCATGCATTTCTACTCAGCAGAAAATCATTTCTTTTTTCAATACAGTAATCTCAAACAGGTCAGTTGTTTAAAAATATTCATATAGATGTTATATTAACATTTTTCCTTTCTATAAGAGTTGGAAGGGAAGAAATTTTTGAGAAGACTTCTATAATGTTTAAGTATTTATGTTAGGCTACAGATGGCGCCATCTGTATATGATTTAATTTTTTTCATAATCATGCCATAGTTAATAATAAGCTGTTTAGCTGTAGAGCTACAGCGAAATTGGTGTGTTTGAAAGAGACTATTCAAGTGTTAAATATTTTTAATCAATAATAAATTAATCCAATCCGAGGTAAGATACACAGCAAAACTGTCATGCTAGAGTATTTTACTTTTTAATGGGAAGTTGTGTTGGAAAACACAAATTAAGAATTCCCAATCAATATTCTATTCAGAGGGAAGAAATTTGCCATTTCAGAATTATTATCCCACAAGTTTAGTTTAAGAATTCCACGAAAGTTGAGAGGGGAACATTCCAGTTGGAATGAAAGAGGACAACACAAATCTTTTCTTAATATACTTTCAAAACTGCAAAAGTTCTTACCAATATTTGTATTGCAGTCAACTTCTAAAGAAGCTTGAATTCCATTATCTCTCTTCCATTCTTTATCATTTTTTATATAAACTTTGACAGAATTTTTTGTACATTCTATCTTCTCCTTAGATCTATTCAACTAAGTGTTGAAACAATGAAAAAAGATAAGAGAATTAGATGAATAACTAAAAATGAAAAAAAAAACCTTTTCTTTAAAGGAATCTTCAGAAAGGAAAAGAAATATTTTCAAACAGCAATTTTCATTATTTTTCTGTGTTAAAGTACAAAAGTAATAGAGAATGAACTTTTCTTTAAAACAGAGAAAATGATTGGAAATAACTGTCTCCATAATCGTTAAGTCTTGATTTTTAAATGAAACTGAAATGCTGTTGGCTTCTATTAACTCACTTCTTTGAAGAGAAAAAATAAAACCTCTTTGAATGAAAGGTAGATAAATATTTCCAACCAGTTCTGATTTAATAGTCAAATTGACATTTTCAATTTTTTCTTCTGGTATAGCATAATTCTTGGTGAAAATTTTGTGTTTTAAATTCTCCACCTTATCCTTAAAACAAGTGACTACTAGTTGACAATTTACACCTTTATTATTTACCAGTTTTGCAGTTGCGCAAATGAATAAGACAGAGAGTGGAGATAACGGTTTGTGTGTTATCTGTAATTTTTGATTTTCTCCAACTTTTAAAAACAAGTAATCATTTTCAATATCAGAGTAACATTCCTGATTAATTTCACACTGTTTAAATGGTAATTTGATCCAGCCAATTGGAGATATAGCTCTGTCATTAAAACTTGAAATTTCTAACCAATCATCATTAATAGATATATTTATTCTGTATTTATCTTCTTCAATAGAATCTAAAAGCATAATTTCCAATCCACAATCAGTGAAATATTCCAAAACTCCTTGATGTAGAGTAACATCCATAGAAATTGATTTTTCATCCCAATAACATTTCGTATCTGGTTTAATCAGTGAAAAACTTCTCAATTTCTTTGTAGATTCCAATTCTATTACATTGTCATGAGAAAAAATTCTATATTTGTTGTTAGTCAAAAAAACTCTATACTTACCAGTGACAGTGAAAGACATAGTCTTTCATATGATAACTATTGTAATGGTGGTGACTTTCAAATCTTTTGTAATCAGTCATATGTATTTATGGCCAGAGTTGATAGCTTATCTGTAAAAATTGAAAATTGTTATTGATATTTATTATATATTAGTTTTATTGAATGAATTTCAATATGGAAAGTAGAAACCTGGGTTAGACAATCCTTAGTTTACTTTCCTTCTCTCTCTTTCTCTACCTCTATCTCATACACACACAGGCTTTCCCCAAAACTCAAGATAAAAATTTTATTATCTTATCTCAATTATTTGATTGTAAAATGTTATTTTTTATTTCTTTTGTAATTGACAACAACTGAAAATAACAATTAGTGTCCTCAATAACTAAATATTGACATAACACTAACACAGATTAAGGGCAAAAATAAACTGACAATTTGAGATTATTTTCCTAAAAGTTTAAAGGGAAATAAGGACAGAGATTTTAAAAAAATTCTAAATATTATAAATGAGAATATAGGGCTAATTAGTCCTAATCTTATCTCCTTAATTTTACAGAGAACGAATTTGTTTTCTGTTGGTGAGCCGTAGGAGAATGTTACAAAATTTAAAATATCTTTCAAATACGGATGTTTTCTTATTTATTTCGTGCCGGAATGAGTTGATAGAAGAGAAGAACATTTTATCAATTTACCTAAATCAAGCCTATTCATTTAAAGAAAATGTTCAGTAGATTTTATTGATTTCATATTTTTTTGAATAATCATTTAAAAAAAAACCTACAGGAAAATTACGCTTCGTCTGACGATAAATTTGAATTTAAATTCAGAATGAAAGAAGAATATTTTCAATTGGATCAACAACACGGAATAAGAATATCACTGACAGGAAAAGATGTTAAAGAAATCAAATCTTTTGCCACTTTTGAAGAGATATTTAAGACTAATCCAGGTAAGATTTTGCCAATTTTTTGTTTTACAAGAGTAGTAATCAACATTGTTTTATCATAAGAAACAAATATGATTGATCCTTTTAAATTTGAAATTGGCAACAAATATCCTCCTCTTCATATGACTATTTCAATTGGTAAATTTTCTGAAGATTGTATTTTCGATACATTACTCAAGTATAGAGATTCGGATTCTATTAAATCTTCTAGAAGAAGACAGGAAGATAAAGCTACAATTAAAGAAGCTTTCTATTATTTTTGGAGAAGATGTACTAGTTTTTACTTTTAATTTGATTATATAGAAGGATTAGTTGAAACTTTCTTATTTTCTATCCATAGCACTCACAGGACACATATGTATGCCATTTCGACAAACTGCTACAACAGTAAACTTTGATGATGATAGGCCTGTAAGATCAGTTGAAAACATTTTTTTTATAATTTACAATAATTCATTATAATTTTCTTTTTAAGGGAAAGAAGAAACAAGTTTTTGATACAACTCAATCAAATGTTTCAATCATTTTAAACAGCACTAAAAACAGAAACTACCATGAAATTGATATTGAAAATTTGAAAAGATTAATGAAAATGCTCAATTATAGATATGAAATATGGGAGAATTTGTCTTTGGAAGAGTTCAATACAAAAATAGATTCCCTACAAATAGATTCATTAAAGTCACTCACATTCTATGTAATGAGCCACGGCAACTATCAAGGTTTTGTTTTAAAGGACATGAATAGCTATATAAAATATACAGATTTTCTTTTTACTATTACAAAAAAAAAGAAATTGAAAAATTTAGATATTCCAATGATATTCTTTTTTCAAACTTGCCGTTCAGCAACAGGTAACAAACACACTTTTTGAAAAGAGACAAACAATACTTTTAAATACATTTTCACATTAAAAAATAGATGATGCTTCAAAAGTAAGACCTTTGCAGGAGTTTAGTCACAGTTTACATCCATTTACGACTAATAATAAAACTGACGAAGAGAACATTTTTGAAGGATATGCATCAGTTAAATGTAAACAGAATCTCTTTCAAATTGTTGTTTTTATATTATATCATCTATTTTTGTAGATTTTCCATCATTTCGGACACCGTATGGAACATATTATATACGTGCAATAATCATCTGTATTATTCTGTTCCGGCATAAAGACAATCTGGAAGAGATAATGGAAAAGGTTAAAAAATGCATGTTTGGAGTATGTAACTATCAATTGCCAGAATATTTTAGCACCTTGAAGAAAGATGTTTATCTTTATGTTTGTAATAATAGCTGAGAGAGAGAGTGTGTGTGTGTGTGTGTGTGTTTTTACTATGTTGTATTGTAAATGTAGGAATTTCTGCTTCTTCAAAACAGTAATTGTCCTTTTCAATCATTTACCAATTTGTTAAAGTACTCAAACCAATAAAACCCCAAAAAGTCTTATCTATATTATCAATAAATGTAATTTCTTTAGAAATTAATCAACAAATTATGAGTATTCTGACAAAGAGTATGTATTGAGTAAAATGAGTTTCTAGCTCTAAACAAGCAAGGTCTACACACTCCCATAAAATATTTATCAGGCTGAACCACGTCCCTTCCAAATCGGAAAAGAACTTGAACTTTTTAAGTCTATTGGATTCGATCACTCAAGCAGAAAAAGAAGGCAAACTTTATGTTATGCTCCTCATATGCCTATAGAACAAGATGGTGAGGAAGACAAGAGGAGGAAGAGAGCTACAGATTGAAGACAAAGTCTTAACATCAGACAAGCTAAAAGCAAGACAAAAATGGGTAACTGGAGTCCTAGCCAAGATCTTAATCAGTCATGACGGAGTTAAAAAGAAATTCAGGATCGAGACCAAAATGGGGCCATTCATAAGAGCTGTGGGTGAACTACTACTTGTGGGAGAATGAATAGAAGAAAGCTTGTTTGTTATGTTATATGTCTGTATGAGTCAGTGTGAATGTGTGAAGGAATGAGTGTTTGGCATGGGTCAAGGATGGCTGACTCGATCTCATATCGTTATCGGACAGTATAATTTGATATCACATCATAAGTTAAATATAAAACCCAAGACATGATGGAAATGTGGCACCACAGATGAGTAGTGTCAAACGCTCAGCTAGGCGACTCAAGTAATGTATAAAACTATAAAAGGAAGTGAATGTAACCTGATTCTGTTCCAATAAACTGAGTGCCTGCTATATTCTTGAATGTTGGTATCCAATATCTTTCTTTATCTCATGGTGGAGCAGATAAGCTAATTTGGTAATTTTCAGTTTTGGTTTCCAGAAAGGTGATTGTTGATATTTAGCTACAGTAACTTTGCAGATACTGTGTGAAATCTGCATCCTCTTTCAGAATAAATACATATATGTTTTATCATTAATAGTTTGGGTTCTAACAGGATTTAGCAGGCTGTGAGTTGTTTTATAAAGCAACTTGTTTAATCTACATTCATTGTACAGCTTTTGTAATACAGTATTTCATACTTGGTTCAACCCTTACATTAAGATCTGAATTTCATGAAAACAACTCTGTTATCACAGATACTAAATCGAAATATATTTTCAAAATCATATATAAAGTATCAAATTATTCTCTCTTTTTATTTACAATTGAGAATCCCAAGGAATATTTGTGCAGAAAAGTTGAAAATTAAAGAAATTGCATGTTCAGATTGTTGGTCTGTATTAGGTCTTGCTATCAGGATAAACAATGATGTTGAAGGATGGAACAGGAGAATAAATGAAAAGACACCTGGCAAAAGGGTCATGTTATTTGCTGATAGACATTTTGAACAGTTGTAGAACAACTTCTATCTTAAAAGAAGCTAAAGAAATATCAGAAGAAAAGTGAGCTTTAGTAGCAATATAGATAGCTCAATGTAGCAGTGTGCCAGATTATCAAACAATGTTGTAGAGTGGAAAGCTTGTTTCAGTTCAGGCTGTCTTTAGATAATCTTTTCAGTTGATGAGTTGAGATGCTACAATGATTAGAGCCAATCAATGTAGAAGTAAATATTTCTATTTTAGACTTTTTGCAATTTTCCTTTCCCAAACTGGATTAAAAGTGGCCTTTTGACATCTAGAAGCTTGGTCCGTTCTTAACCAATCAAAATTTCTTCATCTACTAATTGTTAGACAATGAAATTGCTGTAACAAACCTTCTAAATATCTATTTTTTGGATTATCTCTACTTAATGTAGAAGTATAGCTCAATATGTTTAGAGTATATGAAGAATTTAAAAGTGCTTCATATATATTCTCCAAATAAACAATATCTATGGATGAATTCTTATCAATATGTACTGTTTGTAATTGAGAAAACTCTTTTAGATAATATCCAAGTTTTTTGTATACTTCTTCAGTCAGGCCACAGTTTGTAAAATGAATATCCTTCAAACTTTCATTTGATGAATGAATAAGTCCTTGTAGAATATGAATAATTCCATCTTTTATCTTATCGTTCCCCTCCAAATTGATTATTTCTATTTTAGAACAAGTCCTTAGTAAATTGCCTAATGTTACGCAATTTTCGTTGTTTAGGTTGCATCGTTGAAGGTATATACTCTTTAAATTTGTTGAAGATAGGATGTGAAAAATTTCATTTAAACCATCAGTTATAAATGTATTTTTACTTAGATTGATTGTTTCAATTCTAGTACAGATTTTCAGCAATTTCTTTATGCTCTTACATTCTACTTCGCATAGATCACAATCTTTAAAATTGAGAAACTTTAAAGTGTTTGCTGATTGGGCAAGTCCATCACAAATATAACATAATCCAATGCTCATAGATCTATTTGATTCTAAATTGATTGACTCTAAATTAGAACAATCTTTAAAAAGATCTCCTAAATTCTTACAATCCTCTGGATTCAAATCATAAGATTTGAAGTTTAAATTCTTCAGGCTACTTGTTAAATGATTGAGCTGTTTATAGATGTTGATTAATTTAGTTTTTGTTGTGTTGTGCCCCACCTCTATGTCAATGGTTTCTAGTTTAGAACAACCTTGAAAAAAGCTCTTAATCAATTGACATTTATTTTCATGGATACAACCCAAAGACATTTGGATATTTTTTAAAGTATTTGAAGATTGGACCAGATTTTCAATGTTAGAAATTTCAGTAAAATATTTCCTGAGAGATCCATTCCAATACTTTAGACTGTACAAATGGACTGTTTCTAATTTAGAACAAGTTTTCAATAAAATTCCAATTGCTTTAAATTCTGTTTCTCTACCAGGCCTTATATCGAAATGAATGTTCTTTAAACTGTTAGATTGAAGCATGAGTTCATTACAAACATTTTCAATATCTTGATATACTGCTTCTAGATGAATGCTTTCTATTTTTGTGCAGTTTTTCAGAAAATTTGGCAAACATTTCCATTTTGTATCATTTCTTACTTGAGGTACAGTACAAGTTATCTGTTTTAAACTGTTTTTTGAAGAAATGAGTGCTTTACAAAAGTTCATATCAAATGCATGACAATTTATATTTATTGCCTCTATGTTGGAGCAATTTTCCAATAGATTTTCAATAATCTCAGACTCAAAGACAACACACCGAGAAATATGTATATACCTAAGAGCTTTTGAGGAGCCAATAAGACGTTCAAAAATATTTTCAATGTAATGTTCTTCCAACTTATTATTTCCTTCAATATGAAAAGTGTGAATTTTTGAACAACATTTTAAAGCATTACCAATCTGTTGACAATTTTCTTCATTAAAATTGCAGTTCTTAATATACAATTTTATCATTTTATGAGATGAATAAAATATTTCTTCCAAAATTTTCAAGTTTTGTTTGTTAATATTTTTAAATGACAGTTCAATTATTTGAAATGAGTGTTTCTTATCTTTCTCATCAATTTCTATCCATCTTTTTAGGAGCATTTCATCCAAGTTTTTTGAATCATTGTTAATATCATTTTCAAAAGAATAATCAATTTGGATACTTTCCTTAATTTGCATATCAAGCCTTTTGATATTATTTGGATTAGCTATCATTTTAGTATTCTCTTTTAATTGAGAATTGAAATATTTTTCCCTTTTTTCAACTAGTTCTTTAAATTTGCTTTTAACAATGTTAAACTCGTCCTTAACCTTTTTAATTGCTCTATTTTCATATTCCTCAATTTGTTTTAGTTTTTCAAGATTGTGTCTCCTTTCTTCATTAAAGAAATTATCTATAATTTCTTTTGTCTTTTCATATTTAACCATTGAAATAACCTTGCAATTTTCATGTTTTTCTTCAAAGCACATAACACAGATATTTTCTTCTGAATGTGTTTGACAATAAAGTAATGTTTCCATTTCATGATCTTTACATAATTTCCTCTGCAATAAAGATTTTTCTAATAAATTTGTAGTTAAATATTTGGGTAGCATATCAATCTTCTCTATTGGCTGTCCGTCAGCTTGTTCACATTCTTGGCATTTAAGCTTGCCATTGTCAATTGCAAATTGCCTCAAACATTCCAAACAGAATATATGTTTACAAGGAAGTATTCTTGGGTCATTTTCTAACCAAGATTTAGAACAAATACCACAAATTAGCTCCTTTTTGCTGATAAAATAGCCTTTGGTAGCCATATTGAATCAATAAATTATTCACAAGACTACTATAGTAACTGTATTAAGAAAATGGTGGATTTGAATCCATCAATTTTAAATAATTTTTGACCAGCCTTCATTTATAATTTGAATACAATTATCTTAAAATATAAAGGATTTAAAAAAATTTTAATACAAGGAGAACCAAGTTTGGAGGGAAGTGTGCATGTTAAATATCCCATCTACACATGGGCAAATGGTCAATGGATTATTGATTCGGAGAAAATTATGCATTGTGCACTGCAGTTCAATGCTTTTTAGGAAACCATAGACTTAACTAAATACTATTTAATATGAATGCTTAACAATATATACAGTATATATATATGTATATATATATAGCAAAAAAGCTGATGGCCTAGATGTATCTGACCTAATTACTCAGGATGAATAGAACCAATTAGAGGCAGAACCATTTTTAGAATTTTTGATTGTGTCAAATGTTACTTTGCATTGTTGAAACTTTGAAAATGTGAACTGTTAAACTCTTATGAAAGTATATAAACCCTTAGAATTTAACAATTGTTGGCTTAATTTTCTAACCGCTTGCCTAAATATCACTTATTAGCTAATACTTGCCGACAGACTTGATGTTGAATTTAGGCCAGCATTTTAGTTTGTTATTTTAATTGAGTGGTGCAGATCACTATGTTTTGGACAAGAATGAAATTCCTATGATCGCAATACAACAGAGTAGAACTCCCTATGATCTTAATGAGAATTAAAAGGAGGTGAAAGTCAACCATTGTGTTAAACTACTCCAAAGGTACATGGTAGAAAAAAAGAAGCATTTTTGGAAAAAAATGTTACTACAATATCGCGATCGCACCTAATATAAAACAAATAAATGCAGAGAGAATGTGTGGGAGAAACAAAGAAGGTTATAAATAAAATTGAAATGAAATTGCTTAGCAATTTCGGAATACAAGGGCAAATATTCTAAGGCTCAGATTTGAGTAAAGGATTTATCTTGTAAAACTATATCATAATCAATGAATGTTTTATTAACTATGTAAAAAAAAAAAGAATAGAATCTATAAATTAAACATCGAAGATCACGAGACAATACCTTGGGTATTATCTGTAATTAAAAGTAATTGCGTTAGTGTTGAGCTTTGCTAATTTTCAATAAACTAGAATTCTTTACCTTTTGTATGATAGAACTAATAATACAATGCAAACAATAACTTAAAAAAATAGAGTATTGTTGTATTTTATATGTTCAAAAATTTATACCTACAGCTTAAAAAGGGTAATTTACTGAATATTTTATGAGAATAGAATTCCATTCAATCATCTGGTGTATTATCATAAAGATTTTTGCTAATGCTCATAATTAAAAATGTCTTTTTTAAAAAATGTCAAGACCAATTGATTTCCTATAATGTAACAAAAGATGAGAAAGATAATGTTGATCATTCTTATTGGTGTTTAATTAGAGGGAGAGAGGTGGGAGAGTTATATCTATATTTCTATAGGAAGAAATTAAACTTTTCATAACATTTGAGATGACTGACATTTTATGTTATGCATTATTAATACTATTCTAAAAATATGCATATTTTCAACTTTGCTTCTGTTATGTTTGTATGTGGTAAATACAAAAATTAATATTAATCAGCCTTAGTTCTAAAAGCTGTGGTAACTTTTTCAACTGCCAGTTAGTTTAAATCTTTTCAATTAACTACAAAATGCTAACAATCCGCTATATTTCAATTTTTATTTCTTTAAAATTATGCTACAATCTAGTTTCAACTTCCAGTAAATAAAAAAAAAAAATTTAGAAAAAATAAATACAAATAAATACTCAAGAAAAATTTAAATTTTTACAGATTGTTCATATACAATGATTGCTGATAAAGATTCTTCATTAAATGATTTCATAGGTATAAGAATGCTTAATACTGATCCACAGAAATGTAAAGATATATGTGATGTTGTTGTTGGATGCAAGTAAGTGTTTTTTTTTTTTTATTTACAATATCTCTTTATGTTTTTTTATAGAGCTTATGTTCATGTAATGGGTAGTAACCTTTGTTATCCAAAATCAAAAACAATGGCTGAGGCAAATAATGGTGTAACCCTAACCCAAACAACATATTATGAAAGAGAATCTTCTTGTGGTATGGATATTGCATCATTTTATAAATTATTTGTTATCTTTTTCTTATCTATTTCAGACAGAATTGAAACCGAACTTTTATATTTTGAGAAAGACAATCAAAAAAGTTCGAATATCAAAGTTAGAGATTTAATATCTATTGAAAAAATAGATATACCAGCATCTAAAGAGATATGTCAGAAAATCTGTAATGCTTATCCGAAGTGCATGTAAGTTTATCATTTGATAAACTATGTTAATTTTACACAAAAAGTATATTTATATTTCTCATTTCTTCTTTATCTGCCTTTTTTAGTGGTATTGATTATAGCAAAGATGATTCAAAGTGTGATTTAAAAGAGAGAATACAGCCTGGTGATATTGTGTTTGCAACTGATACCTCAAAGAGTTTCCTATTGAAAAGTAAGTTCATCTGTTCTTTTAATTTATGATACAATAGGTCAATTCATTTTTATATACATTGAATCATTTTTGTTAGAAAATTTTTGCATAAATTATAAAGATTATATTATTGTTTTCACCAAAACATTGAAAGGTGTACACTTAGATATAATGACATATCTATATTTAGACTTTTAGAATAACTTCCATTTTGTTGGAAGTAGAATGATAAAACTTTTGATAATAGATGGAGCTACTATAGAATTGGTAAAAGAGCAAGAAACTTTAAAAAGAGATATGTGTCAAAGTTGTATTATCTTACCTAATACCAGATGTTAAGATTATTGTTGGAACAATGAAACATTACTAGTCCTACCTTACAAAGTCAGATCCTATTAGCTATAGAACATGTACTGATCTATATCTTTCATAGGAGCATCACCTTACGAGTAAACTGGTATATTGCTTTGAAATGAGTTTACTTCACTTATGCATGTTGAAGATAAGGGAAAAGCATTTTGTGAACCAGTTTTATTAATTGTAAGTTCCATTGGAATTGCTTGAATAATTTGTGATCCAAGTTGGGCAACTGAAGCTATAGAAGTGTCTGGTACAGCTGTACTGAAGTTGGGGAAATAAGATATTTATCTAATAGTCAATGACTTGAAAACAATATAAACTAAATCATTATAAATACCTGCAAACTATTTTACTATCACCATCTTTACTTAAAGAGATTGTAGCTGGTGAATCTTGTTTTGACAATATGATTTTATTACCAATAATTGAAGATAGAGTAGAACTATCAAAATGTAATGAAACATCACAAATTATTCATAAATATTCAGAAAATAGACTATGATATTTCATACTGTCATCTGAATGAACATAGGATTGCATTTGAAACTCAACTGAAGATCCTCCACTGTCACAGTTAAAATTGTATGTCAATATATAATGCCCAGGTTTTCTAGTTACATCATAGCAAATAAGCTTATTAACTTTCATTGCAAAATCAAAGATCACCTGTGAAAAATGCGGATCTCAAAAGGCATTTGCAGGAATTTCAATTGATTTTTTACTGTTGAATATACCTTATTTGAAAATAATGTAAACTCAACTTCAAATGTAAATGTTCTGACAGGACTTTTACTTCCATCCAGCAATACAATGTAATGTTCATCAACAAGTTTTTTTCAAATCTTTTTGATATTCAAATAATACAAACATGTTAATATTGTAATAGAACTCTCAGGCATAACTTGTAAACTGGTATCTTCTGATGTTACTCTATTGACAACAATGAAGGAATAATAGAAAAAAATCATAAAAACAAAACCTAATTGTAATAACTATTGCTATAATATTTATTTAAAAATAAAAAGAAGTGTCCTGTCAGCCAATGTGGTGTATTTTTTGGATGCAAACACATTTGAACCTAAAATAAAAAAGAGAGATTAATGATTTTATCATTTGAAACATTGATTTAAAAAATATTACCAGTTTTAAATACTATTAATGAAATTTCTCATTGGTGGACGTTTTCTGTCGACCCCATGAAAACTTTTAATCTCTAATAAAAGAATTAAGAACAGAAGCTTAATTAGTAGAGATCTTTGAAAAGTTATTGTCTGAAAAAAGTTGAGAGAGATACAAAAGAAGTATCAAGATTTACAATTTAAAATATTGCAGTTGTTATGTAATAATACAACTATGTTAGTGTTACTTTAATTACCTATACAAACTACTTTAGCTGCCTGCTTAACCACACTTGAATGAGGGCTACTGGAACTACAAGTGGGTCACATCTTAGAAATGCCTATTGAATTATAGTTTTGTCATGAGAATGGAAGAAAACAACCTGAGAGAAAACTGTTAAGTTTACAGAATGTCAGAGAAATATTCCACAAGTAAGCTTCATATCATTTCAAGTCACAATAGTGATGTGTAGATAGAAAAAGATTCATCAGCTCTATTCTATAATAGAAAAGTAAAAGTGAACTAGTATTATTCAGTGCTGATAGCACTAATAGAGAATATGCAGGCTGGACCTACTTTTGTGTTGGGCCGCATCTATACAATGCAAAACTTTTTGGAAAAAAAATGTTACTGATTTATATTTCTATATTTTGATATTACATTTTATAGTTATACAACAATTTTTGCTTTCATACCAGTCACCATTCTGGAAACAATTATTTTCATAATCAACATATGGGTATGGCCGCTTTAAGCAACTTCTTTCGTAAGTTGTTGCTGTCCCCCTTGACCTACAATCGCCAAAATCACATTTGACAAGTACCTCACTACCAATGACTGAAATATGAAGATTTTTGTCTTTTGATAAAGGTCCTTGACAGTTAAAACAATATTTACTATATTCTGTATTATGTTTTATGGGGGTAAGACTTTTATATTATGAACTGTTTAATAAAACTGCTTTTATACTTTTAACAAAATACTAGTCATTATTAAACAGTTTCATACAATTTGTTATAATATTAATATTAAAATGACTTTGACACTAAAGCTGGGAATCACAGAATAGAAAATTGATGTTTTGATGTTTGTGAAGGGACTTTAACAGTCTTCAAATTAATTGAGGACCCATGGTTATTCTTTTAGTTATTTCATTATAGAATAAATTCCATCATCTATCATTTCAAGAATTTTTTTCGAAAGGTTCCAGAAATTTTCAATTCAAAATGGACTTTCAAATTTGAACTACTAAATCTGTATAGTCATTAATAATCTATTTGAAAGGCTAAAAAACTGCCATAGTCATTGTGAATTGTCTGGAAGGTGGATTGCAATGATCCAATCCAAATCGTAATAAACATTTTCTACATTCAGATGTTGGATATTTTATAGAGAAGGCTATAGAATATCTAAATATAACAGATGGAGCCACTATACAATTGGAAATGAAACAGAGAATGTTGAAAAGATGCATGTTAAATTTACTATATTTTTATCTTTGTAAACCTTTAAACCAAGTGAAACAAGACTTCAGTAAATGTATAAGAAAAGATACATTTGTAACATTTTGTAATGCAATTGTTAACAATAGGAAAATTGTTATATTACTGTGACGAATCACTTCTCATACTGCTCATTTTGGATTTATTATGAATATTTTAATGATCTGTCCCTTCATTATTTTATGTTATAAATCTTGATTTATCACTTCCTGGGCTATCTTTGACTGAGTTTTGCTTTTTAAAACTTTTTGTTATAATTTTGCAAAATTTTTACCATTTTTCTAATGATTGATATCTAGCATCTGGAGGCAATTAAACATTGAATTAGTTCTGTAAGGTATTATTCAATGGACGGAAGTTATAGTTTCTGAGATTTTAATTTCTGTTGAATATAATTAAATTGGGGTCGACAGAAAACGTCCACAATTAAGAAATTTCAAGACTAGATTCTGGATTAAGAAATGGTTAGGAAGAAGAAAATAGCAACTGATTTGTACTTAGGAGGGTCTCCTCTAAGAATTAGGGTTAATGGAAAAAGTTAGATACAGCCAAGGGCTGGGTTAGGGTTAGGGTAAAAGCACTCATTTGTGGACGTTTTCTGTCGCATCCAATTAAATTATATTGTTATTAATATAATCAGCACAAATGAATCAAAAATGTTATAAAATCATAATGGTAAATAATATATGTATTTGTTCGTTTAACTTAAGAATAACTATTCAAAAGGTCAATATATGGGACTCATCTACTATTTTAAGTTTTCGAACACTTGAAAAAAAGAGGGAGGACAAAAGTACATTAATTGTTTTTTGAGGCATTATCAATGACCTAAATAAATAATGATAACTCACTATCTCTTTTACTTAGTAAGCTAAATAAAACAATTAAACAATTTTTTATAGATAGAATTCACTGAAAATTAAAGTATAAAAGAGACTAATATTTTAAAATATCTTAGTTATTGTCAAAAAAATTTTAACATGAAAAAAACAAAATGAATGAAAGAAAAAGATTAAAATTTCTTTTACCAATATTTTTCTTAAAAGTTTTCCTTTTCATTTACAATCTCCAATTAACAGCTTCTGCAGGATGCTTCAGTACTTTTGTTGAGTATAATGGTTATTGTTATAAAAGTACATACTCAAAAGGCGATTGGTATTCCTCAGAAAGGATTTGTCATGTCTATGGTGCAGAAATGATTAGTATCCTAAGTGAAAAGGAAGAATATTTTGTTGAAAATCGTTTACTAGTTAGAAATTGTTGAAAATCAACTTTCAATAATTTATATAAATCATTTTTTCTTGTTTTTTTTCCAGTAGAATACTAACCGAGGAGACATATTCTATATAGGTTTAAACAAACTAAACAGAAGAGAATATCTGTCAGTATAGTTTATATAAAAATTTTAATTCAATTTTCTCAATTCTGTTTTAATTTAACAGATGGTCTGATGGTTCACCTGTTAATTATACAGGTACACTTATCAACTCTAATGATTCTTTGTGCGTTGCTTATAGTCCAAGATGTAGGTAATTAATTTAAAAAAGAAAACAAAACTAAAACAAAATTGACTTTTTTTTTTTGCACAGCTACAACCAAATGGAAAAACATTAATTGTGGAATGGAAGAAAAACGCATTTGTAAAATGAAGAAAGGTGATACGCGACCCACTGGTAGACCAACTCCAGCAACTTCTCATCCGCCGGGCCATTGTCCAAAAGGTTGGCTGGAATCATCCCGAAAATGTTTTTTGGTAGTTTTCTTGGATAAAGTCAATGGGCTAAGATATTATGAAGCAAGAAGAAGTTGTAGGTCATTAAACTTAATGTCAGATTTAGCTACAATTGAAAGTGCAGAAGAGACTTCATTAATTGTTTCACGCGCAGTAGCTGTTGGTGATACAGATGGATTATGGTTTGGTTTATTCAGAAGAAATTATTTGTCTGATTGGCTATGGTATGATAATTCTCCAATTAATCTTGACAGATACAGTAACTGGAATAGAAAGCCAGAAAAACAGGCTTGTTTCATTAACTAGTTACTCAATTACAATACTTGAGAATATTTTTCTACAGACAAGGGCTTACATATCACTTTTTGATAATTATTTTGCGAGAGTAGGTCAATGGGTAGGACATTCATATGGCAGAATGGGCTATGTATGTAGTATGAAAAAAAGTTGGTATTTATGATTTACAAAAGAAATCAGTAAAATATGTTTTTTTCTATTATTAGGTGACATTGAATTGATGTCAACAACTCCCCAAAAGAAAACTGTTTGTCAAAGGGGAGAATTTCTTGGAGATGGTTGTTATACTATACAAAATGAAAAGAAAACTTGGAATGAAGCTTTAACATCTTGTAAAAATTATGTATAATTTTTAAATTCTGCATTTTCAAAAGTAAAAAGTCTTTACAACTTCTTTTCTTCCAAAGAATATGAATTTGGCTTCTATTCATACTGTATCATTGACTGAAAGACTAAAAGTTTATATTAGAAACACAGAAAAATATTACTGGATTGGATTGAATAAGTTTAATTATACCGAGCCATTTTTATGGAGTGATAATTCTGTATATATCTATAGAAATTGGCATCGAGTTTCTCGTGACAATAGATATAACAATTGTGTTGCAATTTCACCAAATGCCAAATGGAGAGCTTTTAATTGTAGCACACAGTTGGAAAGTATTTGCAAAAAATCATTTGGTGTTTTACCTACAGTTCCTCCTCAGATTGATGGAACATGCCCTGATCCAAATCAGCCTTATTGGCTCAAATATGGCAAATATTGCTATTTATTTCCCTATAATGAGGTAAGTTCTTATGAAGAAGCATTAGAGACGTGTAGTAGAATAAGCAGTGGATTAGCTGTTCCAGTCACCATTCATGATATGTCAGAACAATTTTTGATAACTAGACGAATCCAGCATTTAGAGAAAGTCTGGATAGGCTTGACACGTGAATCTTCTAATCAACCATACCGTTGGGTTGATAACACTTCTGTAACATTTGAATTTTGGAGAAAGTATGATGTAGGTCGTGGGGATTGCGTTGCTCTCACTAATGATAAAAATGTAAGGATGCCGGGCCGATGGATAAAACAACCATGTTCACTGCCAGATAACAAAAAAATTGGCTTTGCATGTAAAACTTTGACAATTCCATACCCAACCACTCCTATCCCAGGGAGAGGAAAATGTCCTCCAAAATTTTCAAATGAAGACAATTGGGAAATATTTGGTGAAAAATGCTTACTTTTTGTAAAAAGTCATTTTGCAGATTACAAACTAGCTACAAGAATATGTAGAAGAGTTAATGGCACCTTGGCAGAGATAAAAACATATGATGAAAATTGCTTTATTGAACAACAAGCCAAAAAACATTTACCATTTTACATAAAAGGTTTATGGATTGGTCTAAGAAGAAGAAAAAATGGTCAATATTTGTGGGAAACTGGTGATAAATTCCATTTTGACTATTTTTACTATAAGGATGACAGAAAAGGAAATTGCACTGTATTGAATACTACTGTACATGGTTATTGGAAAAGTCACAGATGCTCTAAAAATCATTTTCCTTTTGTATGTCAAACAGATTTGTTAAAAGGTATATTACTTTTCAAATGTCACTTATTTTCTCTTTTTTTAATTAGTATGTTATTTTTTTGGTAGATTCACCCAAATTGCCAACTACCACTAAGAAACCAACTAGTAGTAAAGTAGGGCTAATTATTGGCATAACAATTGGTATTTGTTCTCTAATTGCAATATTTGGTGGTTTAATTTACAAATGGAAAACTTCTGCAAGAGTTCAAACAAACACAAATCCAGGTGGAGATAACAATAGTTTTCCAAAGAAAATTCAAATGTCAAAATGTCAAAATGAAGAATCCTGTTGATCATTTCCAACAATTCTGATTTTAATAATTGATTTTCAATAATAAATAAGTTGATTACATTTTATCAAAAAGAATGATACAAATTGTTGACATAGTATTTTAAATATTGTATTCACAATGCAATTATAGCCATTACTGTTGGCATAGGGCCAATTAATGTATTTTCTGTTTTTTACAAGAGTAGGTAACTTTTTAATAAGAAATTTCGATATTTTTCCTTCTTCCTGAGACTAACTTCTCTGTTGAGAAACATTCAAAATATGATTTTGTTATTGGATGTTTAAGCAGTAAGGAAGATTCTTTCCATTTTGCAGATTCAAACCTTTAGTTCAACATTGCATTGCATGAAATAATAGATTTGTTCAGCTCTAAAAAATTTCTGTTCCCAAAAAACCGCTTTCTTAGCCATCAAAGGACGAATATTGGTCAACACTTTTCCAAGTCAAAAAACCATATGATGAAGAACTTTTTTTTGAAATGAATGTATTGTTTTTGAAGATCCAAACAATTGAGAAAAGTTTAACATTTTTTGCCTAAAAGTTATAAAAAAGAAAGAAGCAATGAATGTTTTACACTGAAAAATGTCAGAGTAGCCTATTATTGATTAGCCTATTAATCTATTAAATTATATACTAAACATTAAATTACAAATATGCATTGAATGTATAGTCAAAACACAATTGCAAAACTCTTCAACTGATCACAAAAACACTCCAAATAAAAAGGGGAGGACAGTATTACAAGAATTGTTTTTGTAAGCTTTATCAATGACCTAATAAGAATAACAATTAGTTAAGCAGAATTATGTTAATTAAGTGAAAATTTAAATTATACAAATTCACTTGTCTACTCTAATGATTCTTTATGTCTTTCAAGTGGAAAATATTGTTCGTATAAATATTAGTGTTTGTCTCTTTAAATTATCTACAAACTAAACTTTTTCAGTATGGTTCAATGTTAATTGCGCAACACCTCTAAGGTATAATTAAGAGAATTTCTTGGAAATGGTTGCTACACTATACAAAATTCAATAACTCTTGTCTTATGAGGGGAGTATGGGGAGTTAAATTTTCAGTGAAATCCAATACACAGTTCTTGAAAGGGCTAATGAATTCTCCAGTATAATTATTGGGGTAGATTTGCTATTTTCAAGACTGTTTTCTTGTGGTTAAACATTTAATAAGAGAAGCTGATTTTAAAAGTGTCCTTAGAGAGAGTAAAGGCACAGCAGCACTTTATGCCTGGAATTGTAACAGTCTTTTATACATTGATCATTGTAACTCCAATTATGAAGGTTCTTTTGCTTAGATGATAAAAGACTGTACTTTGTTGTATTGTAATTGTAGGAATTTCTTCTTCTTCAGAACAGTATTCGTTCCAATCATTTATCAACTTATCAAAGTACTCACGCGACATAGAACCTTTCAAGTTCCTACACAAATAGTCTTAACAAATGTAATTTTGGTAGAAATAATTCAACAAAACACCAGTATTTCGTTCAAAGAATACGTATTGAGTAAATGAGTTTCTAGTTCTAAACAAGTAAGTTTAAACAACCAGTTAATGGTTAAAGAACTGAACTGACAAGCTGGGGAAATTCATTCCCTTCTATATGTTTCCACAGCTTGGGTTCAAGTGGTCAAAGGATTACAAAGTTGAAATCTGAAGGTCTCATAATTCTCATGTAACAAAAATATAAAAAAACTTTAAGTATTGATATATCATTATATCTAAGTGCACAAAGACAAACACATTTCTCTTTATTCATATAAGAATTAATTAAAAAACTCTATTAAAGTCTAATCTTCATTTATATTTTTTTAAGTTTATTAGATTTCTATTATTCCAGGTTTTACTTTCATTGTTTAAAAGAGATTTGCAAAGTAAATTAATTAAATATAACTTTTATTGCATTTTCACACTAGATGTACACTTAGAAGTAGTTATGCTATATTCATCTTTTGCTTTGATCACTTGAGAGAAATCAATTGTACTTTGTTGCATTGGAATTAACAATAAAAATTATTATAAAACATATTAAAAGTGTTGTTAGATCACCCAGCCTTGTGCTGTGAGTTCTTTGTGTTGGATCTAATACTGTTGGAAGCTGGGGTGCCAAACATGTAAGCAATGCCCAACATCTTATTTCTCATAATAAACTCCTTGCATAAAAGTTGAGGGGACCCGGAAAGAATGTCCCATGGAACGAATGTCACATGAAAAGACTTTTTAATGCAACTTTTCGGATTAAAAAATGGTTAGGAGGGGTTTCATCTAAGGATTAGAGTTAATCAAAAAGGTTAGGGTTAGGGTTAAACTATGGATTTGGGAACGTGTTCAACATGCGGACCTAATATCTCAAAATTATATTTTATATGTGTGATATAACAGTCCTTCATATTTTTCTTCATCAGCTGCTATTTTGGTGACTTGATAAATGATTGAAAAGGATGAAATTCCTTCAATTACTATGCAACAAAGTGACATGTTGGCATAAGGCTTCTGTCTTTCCACACTAAATGGCTGATATAATTTCAACAAACACTTAAAATGATATGAATAGAGTCACTACTGTTTAATTCTCAAACTCATAACTTATATAAGCAGAATCACTATATACTGCTGCATTGACTTTAAATATGCTGCAATCTATTGCAGAAT